TTCACAAAATATATCCTAATTACAGTTCCTCTCTCTCTACCCCTCCTGGCTCTGCCCTACCTCCCCCTCCCCGATGGGATCCGCCCTCTTTCTGTCTCTCATTGAAAACAAACAGGTTTCTATAGGATAATAACAAAATACAATAAGGTGAAACAAAAACTAATGCACCAAAATTGGACAAAACAAACACACAGGAAAACAAACGCCCAGCAGGAGGCGCAGAAACAGAGACCCATCCTTTGCACACTCAGGAGTCCCATAAGACTCTAAACTGAAAGGCACAATAGTTATGCAAAGGGCCCGGACGGTAAAAAGAGAGAAGATATATATTTTTAAATTTGTAAATATAACAAAATTTTTAAAATTTTTTTAATTTATCACATACATATATGATTTAATTTTTTAATTTTAAAAAGGATGATCCCCAACAGGAAATTATGAGGCAAGGACTCTCCAAAGATCCACCGAGTTCATTTGTTATTGGCATCCACTGCTGGGCCTACGGCCTACCCTTAGTTTGTTTCTCCAGTGAGACCCCACCCCTGGAGGAAAATAAGTTCTCATTTGCTCGTGGTTATCAATTGGAGACAGCTTCTGGGTAGGGATGGGGCATGTGTCCACTTCTCCATTCAGCTCTATGACCCACCTGGTGCAGAGCCATGCAGGCCCTGTGCGCGCCACCTCGGTCACTGCGAGTTCAAATGTGAGTCTATCCCATTGATTTAGAGGGCCTGTTTTCTGGTGTCCTCCATCCCTTTTGGTTCTTACAGAATTTCTGCCTCCTCTTCTGCAGGGTTATCTGAGCCCTGAGGGGAGGGAGTTGATGGAGACATCCCATTTAGAGCCCAGAGTTCCAAGGTCTCTCACTATCTGTAAAATGCCCATCTGGGATGTCTGTATTTGTTCCCCTGCTGACAGAGGAAACAGCTGATGGTGGCTGGGCGAGGCACTGATCTTTCTGTATTAGCTGAGTTCCTGGGTGACTACAGATGCAGATTGATCCATTATGAAAAGCCTAACAACCAAGAGTCACCTTCTCACTGGGCATGGTGACCCACATCTGTAACCCCAGACTTGAGAGGTAGAGCAGGAACATCAGGAGAGTAATGGCTGCCTCAGCTAATTGTGAGTTCAAGACCAACCTGGGAGACATGAGACCCTGTCTCAAAAAAAAAAAAGTCTAAACAAATTATGGCCTGGGATGGGGTGTGGCTTAGCACTTACTTGGTAGCTTGCCTAGCATGTACAAATGATGATCCCCTAGGACCATATAAAACTTTGCAAGCAGGCTTGCTCCTATAAGCTCAGGGTTAGGGTGTAGATGGAGGGTCGGAAAGCCAGATTCCTTAGCTACACAGCTGAGTCCAAGGCCAGCCGGGGAGACAAGAGACCTTGCAGAGTAGAAAAGGGTCGCCTGGGCGCCCAAAGGCACTTGCTGCCAACGCTAAAAGGAGAAAACCTATCCCCTAAAGTTGTCCTCCGACTTTCAGGCACGCATATGCCAGATGTCTCTCCCTTCCCTCTTCCTCCTCCCTCTCTCAAAGCAAATAAAAAAAAATTTAAAGTCACTTTCTCTCCCATCAAAACCTTCATTCTACCCACCAATTTCCCCACGACTAGACCCCTGACTCATGTCTTTAGCCCTCTTCTGCATCTGGGACAATGGCATAGTCCCTTGCCCTGCCTTAGCCGCGCACCCTGGCCCAGCACCCCCCCTCCCCCAGTGCTGAAAATGTATATGAATAGGAAATTGGGTACCTTGGTTTATGTCATTTTTTAAACTATGCTAAATAAATGTAAGCCAAAAGCTGGGATTCTATAATTAAATCTAATTTTATAGAAACCAAACATACTGGCAGGAAGTAGGAGCTGCTTTGCGTGTCTTCCCTACAGAACTTAAAACTAATGTGAAAGCCAGCCAGCATTCCTGTCACGGAAGAGACAGGTTCCAGTCCCTGCGTGTTTACCTCTCCCAGGGGCCCTAACTCCTCCCAGAAAATCTGTCTGCCAGAAACTGAAAGCAGTCAGATTTAACCGCAACCTTTACCCAAAGATACATTCCATGGTGAATCTGCTGCTGCTGCTGCACTAAACAAAATCTAATGGACAAGACAGCCAATGCTGCAGCAGACACCATGCTCTATCAGAAAGTACCCACATACACAGAGACATTCATGTGAATGCGTGCACATTCATGAGCGAGCTCGTGCACACACACAATAACTCTCAGAGGAAACAGAGACTGGGGCCCCATCACAATCAGTCAGGTAAAGAGGCAGGCAGATTTTAGGCTTAACCCCCCAAATCAGTGGTCTGACTATGAGACCTATAAAGTAGTTTATACTCGATGCATTACCTACAGGGTTAATATGAACATGTAAAAGTCTGGGACAGGGGATGGCTCAGGGGAAAGGCCTTTGCTGAACAACCCTGGACACCCGAGTGTAATCCCTGAAACCACGAAACGCCGCGGGAAGGAGAGAAATGACTCTACCTCCTCCATTTGCCTGTGTGGCGCACACATAAACACACAGACATGTGATGAAAAGCTCAACTTTTAACTAGAGCAATACACAATTTAGCTGGGCATGGGGGTGCCCGGGAGGCAGAGGCTGGCAGATCTCTGTGAGTTTGAGGTCAGCCTGGTCACAGAGCAAACTCCAGGCTAGCCAGGGCTATACAGTGAGTCTCAAACAAAACAAAAACAAAAACAAAAAAACCCGAAAGTACAGTTTACTAAAATTAAATGTATTGAGCTGGGGGGTGGTGCATGCCTTTAATCCCAGCACTTGGGAGTCAGAGGCAGATGGATCTCTGAGAGTTGGAAACCAGCATGGTCTACAGAGTGCATGCCAGGACAGGCTCCAAAGCTACAGAGAGACCATGTCTCGAAAAACAAAACAAAAAATTAAATGTATTATGTTAAGTTAAACATAAAGACTGTTGTTCATTTGATTTTATTTTGGGTTTTTAAATCAAGGTGTCGTGTGACCCAGAGCTTGCCCCTAGTACTCTAAGTACCCGAAGATAATCTTGAACTTGTGACCCTCCTGCCTTTCCCTTCTGAGAGCCAGTGTCACAGTCATGTGCCACCACTCCAGCTCTTTGTTGCTGTTTGGAAAGGGGCCTCACTCTGCGTAGCCCTGGCCAGACCTTACTTCCTGGACAGATCAGACTAACCTCCATGTCTCAGAGACCCTCCTGCCTTCACTCACCAAGTGCTGGGATTTCAGGACCTGCCCATCAGAAAGCCATCGGACACCGTGCCACGCCCAAAAGCACATATAAGGACAGAAAAGGAGCCTGGCATTGTGGTCCGTGCCTATAATTCCAGCAATCTGAGAGGTCAAGACAAAGAGGATGGTTCCATGTCTAATGCTAGCCTGAGCTACACTGTGAGTTCAAAGCCAGCCAGGGCTACATAGCAAGACCCTGTTTCAAAACACCATCTCCCTTCCAAAACCAGAAAGCCGGAGAAGAGGAAAATGAAAGCCATTCCTGAAACTGTGACCTTTCTTTCCCCAAGTCATGACTAGCCCTCATGCATTAAAGTCTGCCCTTTAAAGAGGCTAGCCTAAACCAGAGATGCCACCTTCTGCTAAACAGCTCTCGCTTCCTCTGCAGTCTGTGTCCTGGCTAGCTTTATGTCAACTTGACACAAGCTAGACACTGGAGAGGAGGGAGCCTTCACTGAGAAAATGTTGCCAGAAGATTGAACTACAAGTCTGTAGGGCGTTTGCTTAATTAGTGATTAATGGGGGAGGACCCGGCCCATTGTGGGTGGAGCCACCCCTGGGCTGCTTGTCCTAGGTTCTATAAGAAAGCAGGCTGAGCAAGCCTTGGAGAACAAGCCAGTAATCAGCTCCCTCCATGCCCTCTGCCTCAGCTCCTGCCTCCAGGTTCCTGCCCTGTTTCAGTTGCTGTCCTGACTTCCTCTGTAGTGAACAGTAATTTGGAAGCATGAGCCAACGAAACCCTTCCTTTCTTGCCTTTTGGCAAGAAACCCCAACTTGCCTTTTGCTCATGGTGTTTCACTGAAGCAATGGAAACTTTAATTAAGACAGTCTGTACTTACACCGAATAATAGAACTTTCTGTTTCCTTTAAAAGGATATTTATAAGGGGCTAGAGAGACGGTTCAGCAGTTAAGAGCACTTTCTGTTCTTGCAAGGGACAGGGATTCCCAGAACCGTGGCAGCTCACAATTGTCTGTAACTCCAGGCCCAGGGGATCTGATACAATTTTCTGGCCTCTGAGGGTACCAGGATTCACATGGTGCACAGACGTGTTTACAGACCACATTTCAGAAAAGTGAGTAAAACAAACAAAAAAATTATAAACTTGTGAATGGTGGGAAGACTCAAAGAAAAAAGAACCTATATAAGAATTTCACAACTGCATTCCTAACAGCCTCAAATTGTAATAATGACCAAAAGGGGTAAACTGTGGCATAATGGATGGTACCCAAATCAAATGCAACAGTGAAAGCAATGAGTCTCCTGTCTGTCGTCTCTCCTCTCTCTCTCTCCCTCCCTCCCTCTCTCTCTCCCTATCCAGTTCCTAGACAAAACTGTCAGTTGGCTCCCGAAAGCGATTGTCAACATCCCTTGCTTACTTTTTAGCCCTGAAACGTAACTTCAAAAGGGAAAGGTGAATATTCTCCTAAGCAGTCCTTTCGTCTTTCAAATCAAACCAGCCCAACTAGACATTTTCTTCGCGCAAAGCGTCTTTACACTTAGGAAACTGTCAGCTTGAGACTGTAGACTCTGACACTGGGTCGTTGGCCTTGCAAAGTAACTAAGAGTTCCCTTCACACAGAGCGGCCAGCAACTTTTCCCCTCCTCCTAATAGCCAGGCCGGGAGTCCTCCGTGGTAAGTGGCCCAGCCTCCTCTCTCAGGCCCCGCCCCCGAGCGCCCCTCCCCTGGGCGTGGCGAGGCTCCCGCTGCTGCGTCTCTATGGAAACGGCTCCTGCTTTCCTCTTTCCTGAGTCCAGCAGCGGGATGGCGGCTGGGGAGCCAGGCTGTCCTGGCGGCTTCTACTTCAGATTCCTGCCTCAGAGAACCTTCTCGTCCTTGAGCACCCGGGAGAGCACCGGCCGGCTCCGCCAATGGTGAGAGCGAGGGCGAGGCGGGGGCGGCCACGCGGCGGGCTCAGGGTCCTGCTGGGGAAGCGATCTGCGCTGCAGGCTCCGCACTCCGGCCCCAAACTTCCGTCCCCAAACTCCCGCCACTGACTCTCCCTCTCTGCCAGGTCCATGCTGGGCAGAATCCAGGCGCAGGCCTTCAGCTTCGACCAGACGTTCCAGCCCTACCAGAAGGATGATTTCGTCATGGTTGGTATAGGGGTCTCTCCTGATGTTGTTGGGAACACTCCATGACGTGTTCATGGACTAATAAAAAGTGCAAATTGGATTTTCTTTTGTTTTGTTTTGTTTCTTAGGGGCTTTTTGAGAAAATGTCTCACTCTGTAGACCAGGCTGGCCTGGCACTCACTGGGGTCCCCTTGCCTCTGCCTCTCAAGTGCCACCACGACCGCCTTGCAAATAGTATCTTTTACCTATCTACCCTCAGGATTGTGCCTTAGATAACTGTACGGTGTAATGTTTTTAGACAATCTCACTGTGTAATGCATGATGGCCTTGAGCAAGTCAGGCATCCCTCAGCATCCCCTGTGCTGGCACGCAGGCTGTGTTACCGATTCAGACAGAAGAGTGTGTTTGAGTTTTGTTTTGTTTTAGGAAGCACATCTTGTTGAAATACTATTATCCGGTTTTATCCCTGACTTTATTAGGCTTAACTCCAAATGCTTCTGGTTTCTGAAAATCACGTTCATCTTGAGAAATGGGCCCCGAGCTCTAACACAGTGCCCAAACAGGACTTCCTCCGAAAGTTTTGAGCAGTGGCCTGTTTGGGAAAAGGCTTTAGGTAGAGAGGAATCCTTTGGGGAAGGCAAAGCTCCTTGAAAGGTGTGAGTGAGTCTTAAAACTCAGGCCCACTATTCTTGTATCGTTAGCTTTGTGAGATGACGCTCATTCTCGGCCACTGTCCTCTGAGCGATGCCTTTAGCTTAGCTTATAGTTGGCATGTAGTTATTCACTGACACTTTCTGAAGGCCCGCTGTGTGCTAGGAACATCTCAGTTACTAGAGATAGAAATTAATCAAAAGATGATCTTTGAAGAGTTTCTGGATCCTTCCCAAGAATGCCAGCAAATAACATAGGTCACCTTGGCATGGCCAGTAGTGAAGAGAGGCTGTCTCCTAACTCTAAGATCAGAAGTGGTTCGTTCAGCTGACATCTGCAAAAGGGAATCCTGCCCAGCTCCTGGCTCTGGCGGGCAGCTCCCAAGGTCCTTGTCATGACTTGATCACCTCTAAAGACACCAGTCCCACCGAGTTAGGAACCCACCCTGTATCAGAGTAGCATTAGTGTATGCAGTGGCCCCCTTTCTGGTGTTGAAGGAAGGACATGAATTTCTAGCTAAATTGGTCCAGTTCTCTTAACTGTGATAGGGTTATAATGCCATCGTAGTATAATGATACGATTATGACCTGTCTTTGTTTATTCCTGGTTAGATTCTGATAATTAATAGTACTGGCCCTCGACTATTTTTTCCTTATTCTTCCCTCATACAATTAATCTTGAAGACAGAATCCTCTCCCTCCTCCCAACCCCCAACCTCCCCTCTTTCCAAGAACTACTGCTCCTCTCTTTCTTCAGAAAGGAGCAGGCCTCCCAGGGGTATCAACTGAACATGGTGTAGAAGATGCAGTAAGACTAGACACAAACCCTCACAGCAAGGCTGGATGGAGGCCACCCGGTAGGAAGAAAAGGGTCCCAGGCAAAAGAGTCAGAGACACCCTGACTCCCACTGAAGGATCTCACAAGGAGTCAAAGCTACACGACTGTAGCATGTATGAAGAGGGCCTAGGTCAGTTCCATGCAGGACCCTCAGTCATTGGTGCAGTCTCCGTGAGCCGCTATGGGCCCAGGCAGTGTCGGGCACTCAGCTACTCAACAGTTTTTTAAGTTCAGAATTTTGAAGTACTGTAAATTTTTTTCTTTTTACTTATTTTTAAGACAGGCTCTTAACTGTGTGGCCCTGGTTGGCCTCAAACTCAGAGATCTGCCTGCCGTAGTCCTGGAACGAAAGGGATGTGCCCTCCCACCTGGTTTCTTTAATACCTGATTTGTTTTGTTTTGTTTTCATATGTAACATTTTTTCTTTTCTTTTTTAAGTTTTTAGAGACAGAGTTTCGTTGACTGTCCTAGAACTCACTCTGTAGACCAGGCTGGCCTCAGACTCACAGAGATCTGCTTGCCTCTGCCTCCCAAGTGCTGGGATAAAAGGTGTGTTCCTCCACCACCCAACTCATATGTCACTTTTAATATCCCTGTTTAGTCAGTAAAGATTTGTTTAATGTTTTCTTTATCCTCATCCCAGCTTGTAAGGCACACACAATTCAGCAAACCAGTCTCCGTGGGACCTGGAAGTGGGTGTTTTAAATGCTATAGAAAGTGTCCTGGGCACAGAGGGAAGCGCCCCCTGTTGCAAGGTGGAAGGAGGTGCACATTTCTTCCAGTTTTTCTTTTGATTGCTCAGTAGAGTTCAACAGGTTAAATATCCATAGTTCCAAGCATCTCTTCCTTGCTTTACAGTTCTTGTGCCAAGGATGTTACTGAGCTACTGAGTGCTGGTTTTGTATGCATCCCCAGCTCTGCATAAACCCGGCATGGTGACTGACCTGTAACCCAACACCGGCAAGGTGGACACAAGCCGATCGGAATCTGTTCACGGTCATCTTTGGCCCAGGCCATCTCAAAAGCCAAAATAAGACTCATAGTTAAACACTGGGGACCCAGTGTGGTGGCGCATGCCTTTAATTCCAGTCGCATGCCTTTAATTCCAGCACTCAGAAGGCAGAGGCAGATGGATCTCTGTGAGTTGAAAGCCAAGTTGGTCTACAGAGTGAAATCTAGAGCAGCCAGGACTACATAGAGAGACCCTGTCTAAAATAAACAAAACAAACAAACAAATAGTATTGGGGAGCTGAGAAAGTGGCTCAAGGGTAGAGTGCTTGCTTATTATACACAGAATTCTAACTCTGGCACTAGAAAATATAATTATTTGAAGTATTTGTGGGGTTGGAGAGATGGCTTGGCTGTTAAAGACATTTTGGTTGTGATATTTACAGGCGTCTGTGTATCTGTGTCTCTGTGAGTCACACTGCCTGTGCTGGAGAACAGAAGAGGTTACAGAGTCCCTTGAAGTTTGAGTTGCATGCTTTTGTGAGCCATCTTACATGGAGGCTAGCCTTAGTATACCAGTCCTTACAATGGAGCAGCAAGTGTTCTTTTCTTTTCTTTCTTTCTTTCTTTCTTTCTTTCTTTTTTTATGTGCATTAGTGTTTTGCCTGTGTGTATGTTTGGGGGGGGGGGGAGATGTCAGATCCTGGAGTTACAGACAGTTGTGAGCTGCCATGTGGTTGCTTAGAATTGAACCCCTGCCCTTTGGAAGAACAGCAAGATCACCACTGACCCACCATGCTCCAGCCAGTTTTTACAGATGTTTTATTTTAGTTTTAATTGTGTGTATATGTGTGTGGAGGGCATATGTTTAGGTCGCACCTATGGACTCGGCCTCTCTGTAATTGTAGTTGCAGGAGACATTGTGAGCTGCCAGCTTGAGGCAGAAAGACAAACTTAGGTCCTCTGCTAGGGCGATCTGAACTCTTAACCCCTGAGCCAGCTTTCATTTTACTGGGTAGTCCAAGTGGGACTTGACCATCAGGCCTGGCTCAAAGGTATCTTTTTAATAAGGTGATTAAAACCAAGTTTGATATTGTATGTCTATAGTCCCAGCGCCCAGAGACTGAGGCATGAAGAATATAAGTTCAAGACCTGCCTGGACTACATAGTGAAACCATATTTTCTTTCTTTTGGGTGGGAAGGTTTGTTTGATTTTTGTTGTTGTTTGTTTGTTTGTTTGTTTGTTTACAAGGTTTCTCTGTGTATCCCTGGCAGTCCTGGAACTTGCTCTCTAGACCCGGCTGTCCTTGAACTCAGAGATCTGCCTGATGGGATTAAAGGTGCATGCCACCACACCAGCTGTGAAACCCTGTTTTCTAAGAATGATTGCTTAAAACATTGATGTCAGTTTGGCAGCTGTGTGAAAAGCTGATTGCTCTTCTCAGTCTGGAAATAGTGAAACAGAACTGGACAGCACCTCCAGACACTGTCCAGTGTCTGCATTGGTGTATTCTGATGAGCATGGCCACCTTCTGGACAGTGTTTAGTGAAGTTCTCACTTTAGACTAACCCTAAAAATGACTCAGAGAAGTACTATGAGGGAGGCTTAGGGACTAATGAGATGGTAAGATAGGGAGAGAACATGTTGGTCGAGTCCCAGGTTTCTGATGTAGTTGACTGGAGTATCTGATTAGACTGCTGAACACATAGAAGACTGGAGCACACGATGAGAGAAAGTTTAGCATTAGGCACGCTCCAGGTGCATCCAGGAAGCTGTCTTCTAGCTTGTTGGCTGGAAGGTCTCACATTAAGGCCTCAAGAGAGCCCGGTCAGATCAACATACAAGTGCTGAGGGCCTCATCCTAATGGTGTGTGCCGATAATGAGTTTTCCATGCGCACACTAACAAGCTTTTTATTTTGCAGAGTTAGCTGGAGGCCTGTGCATGCTCCCGTGTACATCTCAGGGGCAGAACACAGGCCTATGACTGCATCTCACTGATCCTAGCAGGTGTGAGTGTGTGTGTGTGTGTGTGTGTGTGTGTGTGTGTGTGTGTGTGTGTTCATGTGCATGGGTGAGCTTATGCTACAGTGCATAAGTTGAAAGACAACTTTGGGAGTCAGTTCTTGTCTTCCACATGGAACCCGGATTGAACTTGGGTCATAAGGCTTGTGTCGTTTTATCCTCTGAACCACCTCACTGTCCCTTGATTTCATTTCTTTTCTTTCTTTAAAAGATTTAAAGTTCTTCCAGCCAGGTAGGCAGTGGTAGCGCACGCCTTTAATCCCAACACTCGGGAGGCACAGGCAGGTGGGATCTCTGTGAGTTCGAGGCCAGCCTGGTCTGCAGAGTTAGTGCCAGGACAGGCTCCAAAGCCACACAGAGAAACCCTGGCTCATAAAACAAAAACAAAAGAACACAATGAATAAAGTTATTGTAGCCAGTCTGATGGTGTGTACTCCCAGCATTTTAAAGAGAAGCAGGACCTCAGGAGTTCAAGATTATCCTTGGGCATACAGCGCGTCACGAGTGTGCGCGAGGCTAGCCTGAATGCGTGAGATCCTGTCTCAGAAGGAGAAAACACAAAGTCCTTCAAGCTTTACATGGTGGCTCATACCTATGATCCCAGCACACGGTGCTGAGGCCCGAAACTGAGATTTTCAGGGAAACTTGGGCTACATAGCAAATTCAAAGGCAGCCTGAGCTATATAATGGGACCCTATCCAAAACACCAAGGGTTGGGGAAATAACACAGGGATAGAGCAATGCTCAGTGTCGACAAGCTCCTGGGTTTGATGTCCAGTACCTTAGAGGAAAAAAGCAAAAGCAGTAGTTAAAACCCAGCTTCTCTTCTTACTTTGGATTAAATGATGTTTTATTAATTTTGTTTCAGAAGTTAATTTTATTTATAATAAAGTTTCTAACATGTTCCCCTGCAATTTGTATTTTAGGCTTTTTTCAGAGACCCAAATGTTATTCCAAATTTGCAGTTACTCTCTGATTCTTCCGGACAGTGGACCACATTAGGTAAAGAAAGCTAATTTTTTTATTTTTCTAAGTAAACTATTTTAATAAAATTTTGCCTCAGCAATTATCACTAGTGATTTGTATCACTAAAATACAAATTATAGCCTTCGTGGTAATGACCAGCTGTGTCAGGCCTGCCCTGCCTCTCTGTCCAGGAAATCTCTTGCCCTCACCCTGTCATGGCACATCAGAGCAACTTTCTCTTAGTAGTTTGAAAATGTGCATCCTACCCCTTCCATTTACTCTGCTAAATGCAAGTCACACCAAGACGGGTAGGAAGAAAGGGCCCCCGTGGAACCCATCGGTACGTTAAGGGAGATGGAGCTCGGTGCGTTGATTGGTACACAAAGACCTGGATTGTTCACTTCCAGCATCACTGTGGGGTTTTGAAAGGAAGTGCCACTATAGGAGGTGTGGCTTTGTCTGAGTAGGTGTGGTCTTATTGGAGGAAATGTGTCACAGGCTTTGAGGTCTCACGCATGCCCAAGCCACGCCCAGTGAGATAGTTCACTGCCTACATGTTGCCATACTCCTCAGCTGCCATGGTCCATGCCATAATGACAATGGACTAAACCTCTGAAACTATGAGCCAACACCACAATTAGATGCTTCCCTTTATAAAAGTGGCCATGGCCGTGATGTCTCTTCACAGCCATAGAAACCCTAAGAAAATCACATAAAGCTAGGTATAGCAGCACAACCTGTAATCCCAATACTGGGCGGGGGGTGGGGGTAGGGGTGAGGGGGGATGTAGAGACAGGAGGAACAGAAGTTCAAGGCCATCCTCTGACACACGGCATGGCAAATTGAGGCCACCTCAGGCAATATGAGATCCTGTTTTAAAATAATAATAAAGATGTTAAGAATAGGGCTGGAGAGATGGCTCAGAAGTTAAGAGCACTGGCTTCTCTTCCAGAGGTCCTGAGTTCCATTCCCAGCAACCACATGGTGGCTCACAACCATCTGTAATGAGATCTGGTGCCCTCTGCTGGTGTGCAGGCATATAGGCCAGCAGAATACTGAAATCACACAATAAATAAATAAATAAATCTTTTAAAAAACATTAAGAATAAAGAAGGGAGAGGGATGAGATGGAAGGATAGAAAAAGAGGGGCTGGAGAGATGGCCAGTTGAGCTCTTTAAGAGGCAGTGCCCTTGCGGTCCTGAGTTCACAGCCTGTGACTCCAGCTCCAGGGGGTCCAGGACCTGTAGCCTTTGTGGCAATTGGCACACATGTACACACCCCCACATGGACATATACACAGTCATATAATTAAAAATCTTGAAAGAGTAAGTGAAAGAAAGACTGTAATAGTGTGCTCCGGGTTTTTCCACAGACGTGAGAGCACGGGGAGCGAGATGGCTCGGGATAAGGTCACTGGGCAGAGTACAGCCGCAGCTCACATGGTGTTTTGATGGGAATCGGCTGCCCTGGAATTGTGCGTGCGTGTGTGTGTGTGTGTGTGTGTGTGTGTGTGTGTGTGTGTGTATCAAACCATAGAGAAATGACTTCTTAAAGGGGGACCTTAATAATACACTAAAACATTCCTGGGAAATTTTATTTATTTGTTTGGTATGTATGTGTGTGTGTGTGCGCGCGTGCGTGCGTGCGTGTGTGTGTGTGTGTGTGTGTGTGATCAAATGCAAGCATGCCATATGGAAGCCAGAGGGTAGCTTTTAGGAGTTTTTCTTCCAAACTCAGTCATCAAGCTTGCATGCCCTGCACTTTTACCAAATGAGCCATCATCTCCCTCAAAGACTGTTTTGAAAACCAACATAAATTTTAAGTATATTTTAAATTCAAGTTCTAGGTCTCAACCATGGATCAGGTAACCCATTCCACTTAGAGAAAGATCTGGAGTACCAGTGTGTACACAAGAGAATGCAAACTGCTTAGAAATGAGATGTTTTAAGAGGGGCCTTTTGTTAAAGTATGTCTTCATGGTATTCTAAGAAGCCCTAAGACAAAGTAACTTTTTGAGAGTATTAGGCAAGAACAAAATTACAAAAAGGTTCCTGTTAGACTCAGCAGGTCAGATTTTATTGCTTTTGGCCAAGGACTACTGCCAAATTTGCAGAGCAAAAAGCTGGTAGAGCCTGATTTGCAGACAATGTACAAAATTAAACTCGGTTTCTAAGCTCTTACACTTGCCAACTTGGATTTTTCAAGAAAGAATAACCAGAGTCTTTAATAAAATGTTCACAGTAACTTCAGCCAGTCTGTTAAAAAGAAAACGGGGTTCACAGGAGTGTGTGACATCTCCCCCATATCCATACAGACTTGGCAGAGTAGGTGCTGACTTGGTCCTACGTTTTGCTTGTTTGTTTTTCTGTTGTTTTTCACGATTGTCTTGGCTGGGGTTTCTGTTGCCATGAAGAGACACTATGACCTTGGCATCTCCCATAAGGGAAAGCGTTTAATAGAGGTGGCAGCTTACTGTTCAGAGGTTTAGTCCATTATCACCATGGCAGGGAGCATGGTGGCTGGGGTAACAGGCCTGCACCACCCATTCTATGCAGTGCTGGGGATCGAACCCACGCTTTCTTGAATGCTAGGAGGTAGTCTACCACTTGATCTGTCTGCAGCCTGAGAAGGAGGCATTGTCAAACAAGAAGGGACTGGAAGGGGGCAGACTACTGAAGGTTTGTGGCCTTGCTAGACTGAGAAACAAGAAACCCTGTTCTGAAGAGAACACCGAGGATATGGTTGGAAACCCATCTGATAAAGAGATCTGGGCATGACTCATGGATTTCATCAGGCATTTCAGCAGAAACCAAAAGTAGAATGGATGGTATCAGTAAAGATGCTGCTGGCTGATACTAAAGGGCTCCCGGCTTCTTAGGTCCTAGGGGCTGGGTCATAAAGCTGCTCATCTGCCAACATGAACTGTGTGCTAAGGAAAGACCCAGAAGGTTAATCAGGGCTCTGCAACTAAAATCTTGTACTACTCTTCCAGAAGTCCAGAGTTCAGTTCCCAGCACCCATGTTAGGCCATTCAGATCAGGGGTTCCAACACATCTAGCCTCTGTCGGCACCTACACACACACACACACACACACACCACGCGTGCACACACACGCACGCACACACACACACACACATTTTTAAAAAGTCATCTTTGTAAAGAGTTTTTGTCTGTCCCACCAGCCAGCTCCCAAATAATGACCCCACTGCACCCACACCCACCTGTTTTGAGACAGGGTTTCATTTTGAAGCCCAGGCTGGCCTGGGGCCTACCCTGTAGCTGGCTGAGAATGCTAGTCTACCTCAGCTTCTCAAGTACTGGCCTTCTAGATATGTGGTATCAAACCTAGCTCTAAACTTGTGTAATGTAAATTATAGAGCATTTAGCATTATGGAAATCCAAAATTATGTGAAAGAATCTTATTTTTCATTGGCAATTGTACACTTGCTCTTTGCCAAAAGGCCAAGCGCAAAGTTTTCTAGGCAATTTTGACATAGGCATTTCAGTAGAGTGCATGCCTGGGTTCTGTCCCCAACATCAGTAAAAGCTGGGCATGGCCGTGCATACCTGTAACCCTATTACAGAAGAGGTAGACCAGGAGGACCAGAAGTCAGGCTCATCCCTGCTGCATGGTGATTTCAGGGTTAGCGTGGGCTATGTGAAGCTATTGACGCTTTGTCTTGATAATACTGCACACGCATGCACGTGCTCTTGATAATACTGCACACACATGCACGCGCTCTTGATAATACTGCACACACATGCACGCGCGCGCGCACACACACACACACACACCTATAAACCCCTTACTAAACACACAAAGTATTTCGTGTTAAGGTGTCTCTAGTTCAGTGATTCTCACCTATGGGTCGAGACCGTTGGCGTGGAACAACCATTTCACAGGGTATACATACCAGATATTTACATTACAATTCATAACAGTAGCAAAACTACAGATATGAAGTAGCAATAAAAGTAATTTTATGGTTGGGGTCACCCAGTGTGAGGAACAGTATAAAAGGGTCACAGCATTAGGAAGGTTGGGAACCACTGCTCTAGTTTATGTTCACCTAGCAAGGTTTAATTATAAATTTGGTTTTGTTTTTAAACTCATCCTATAGCCTATACTGGCTTAGAACCTACTGTGCAGCCCAGCCCATTCTCAAACTTGTGAATCCTCCTTCCTTACTCTCCTGGATGCTGACATTATAGCCACTAGCTAACCTGGCTCTAAACTTTTTATAAAATTCATTTTATTAAGACCAACAACCTAAATAAATAAAAAGATTTATTTTTATTTTATATCTGTGTGTTGGGGTGGGGTATCTACTGAGCCTCCTTGGAGCTAGAGTTACAGGTAAGCCACTTGAGGAGGGTACTGGGATCCCAACTCTGGTATTCTAGAAGAACAGAGAGCACTCTTATTTTCTTGGACGTTCAGGGACCTAACTCGGGACTTTGTGTAGCGCTTTTATCCACTAAGACATGTGTCGTTACTTCTTTTTTTTTTTTTTTTTTTTTTTTTTTTAGGTTTATTTACTATATATACAGTGTTCTGCCTATATGTATCCCTGCAGGCCAGAAGAGGGCACCAGATCTCATTACAGATTCTTGAGAGCCACCATGTGGTTGCTGGGAATTGAACTCAGAACCTCTGGAAGAACAGGCAGTATTCTTAACCTCCTCGGAGCCATCTCTCCAGCCCTGTTTGGTTACTTCTTAGAATCCATGCATAATGGTTGATTTTAGAAATAACAGAAAATTGGTCTAGAGCCAGGCATGGTGCCACACAACATTTATCCCAGCACTTGAGGAAAGCAACTGCCTGTGAGTTTGAGGCCAACCCAAGGCCCACAGTGAGTTCCAGGGCAGCCAGAACTATATACCAAGACCTTGACTCAAAAATCAAAAGCAGAGCAGTGGAATTTGAATCCATGTCCCAGGGAGTCTGATGCTGCCTTCTGGCCTGTGTGGGTTCCCGCACACACGTGGCAGACACTACATACACAGAAATAAAAAATGGAAATGTATCCTTTTTGAAAGTTTAGAAATACTAAAGTCGTTACTAAAGTCCCTGGCACTGTCACTCTTTACAGAAGATGTCTTTTTCAGGAGCTGAAGTGAAGAAAATTGAAGCTGTGAATGTCCCATGCACACAGCTTTCCATGTCTTTCTTCCAACGGTTATACGATGAAGACATTGTACGGGAAAGTGGACACATTGTCAAATGCTTCGATTCCTACTGTGATCCCTTTCTTGTTTCAGATGAACTAAGAAAAGTAAGTGCAGAATCTCAGACTCTCACAGCGGGTGTGCATTGAAGGAAATGAAAAAAATGTCAAAACCGAAAGCCTGGTTAAAACTCAAGTTGCCTCTAGCCAGTCCATCTGGCCAGTGTGGAGGACGTAGTGCAGTCAGACACTGAAGCCTCGGCACAGTCCCTCCCAACCCTTACCTGGCCCAGTGTGCCAAACCTTCACAGGTAACAGCGGCCCCTGCCTGTGATCCCAGCAGTCAGGAGGTAGAGGCAGGGCATCAGGGACTCAAGGACAGCCTGGCCTATCTCAAAAGCAAAACAACAAAACTAAACTGAAAATGGAACCTGAGACATAGCACAGTTGCCTCGGGGCGATCCTCAGTGCGTCACGAACATGGCATGGTGGCACATGCCTATTAACCTAGCACTTGGGGGGTGGGAAAAGGAGGATCAGGGGTTGAAGGTCATCCTCATCTATGTAGTTCAAGGTCAGCTTGGGATGCATGAGACCCTACCCAAGAATTAAAAAAAAAAAAATACTAGCAATGTTTTTCAAAGTTTATTTCTTTTATTTTTAAATTTTTTTATTTTTATTTTACATATCAGTCCCAGTTCCCTCTCTCTCCCTCCTTCCGATGCCACTTCCATCCCCCCCCACTCCACATGTAGAGTGATGCCCTTCAGGAGGGGTCATCTACATCTGTCAAGTCATTTGGAGTAGGGACTGGGCCCTCCCTCCTGCCTCTAGGTTAAGGGAGTATCCCTACATGGGGAATGTGCTCCCAAAGTCCTTTTGTGCCCCAGGAATACATCCTGGCTCCACTGTCTGAGGTCCCTTAGACTGCCCAGGCCTTCTGAGACCCATGTTCAGGGGGTCTGAGTTGGTCCAATGCTGGATTCCCAGGTATCGGTCTGGGGGCCCCTTAGCTCTTCCTTGTTCAGGTCAGCTGTCTGTGTGTTTCTGTAGCCTGGTCTTGTCCTCCCTCTCTGCATCTGGATTCCAGTTCAGCTCAGTGTTTAGCTGTGGGTGTTTGCTTCTGTTTCCATCAGCTACTAGATGAGGGCTCTATGATGGTGGATAAGTTAGTCTTCAATCTCATTATCAGGGAAGGGCATTTATGGTAGACTTTCCACTGTTGCTCAAATTGTTATTTGGAGAGGGAGAGAGAGAACATAAAAGATCTGAAGAGAAAACTGAATCTAGAGAAATGTCCAGAGGCCTACAAGACTGACCCCAAATAGCAATTTAAAAAGGTATGTGTTTATGTGCATGAATGTTTTAACTGTTTCTATGTGTACATGCCACATGTGTGCCTAGTACTCATGAAGGACAGACGAGGTCTGGATCCCCTGGTATTGGAGTTATAGATGGTTTTGAACTATGGTGTGGGTGCTTGGAACTGAGCCTGGGTCCATTGCAGATGGGAACTAACCCTTTCTCCAACCCCAATATTGTTTGTTTGTTTGTTTGTTCATTTGAGACAACCTCCTGTATCCCAGGCTGACCTTGAACTCACTGTGTGGTTTAGAATGGCCTTGACCTTCTGGTTCTCATGTTTCTGCCTCCAAGTGATGGTTACAGAGTACACCATTGCACCTGCCATGACTTCCTCTCAAAACAGCCTAAGATTGGGCAGGGAGTGTAATTTAATGGTGTGGGGAGGGGTGGAGGGCTGCCTCTCAGAACACGACTGTGCCTGTGATCCCCAGCATCACAAAAGTACTAATTTAAAGTATATGTTAAAACTTCCAAAGGCTTAAAATCATAACCCTGTATTATACATTCCATTGTCTACAATGCTTTTTCTCATCTTAGGTTTTGCTCATGGAAGACTCTGAAAAGTATGAAATCTTCAGCCCACAGGAAAGAGAAGAGTTCCTGTTCTGTGTTTTTAAGCATCTCTGCCTTGGAGGGTCCCTTTGTCAGTATGAAGACATGCTTAAGCCCTATCTGGAGACAGCGAAGCTGATCTACAAGGATCTGGTGAGGTAATGGTCTCAGTGTGTACATCCCTAGCCAGGAGAGAACAGTCGTTTTTGTTTAATCCAGTGATTAAACAATCCAGTGAGTCTTCACCCGGTTAACTCTGGCAACTCCTCAGGCCCTTTTGTAGCCTGCCTCGCTCTTCTCCAAGCCAGAAGGATGTTTTTATTTTCAATTTTGTTTGTTGTTTTTTCATGGGATATTTTTTTTCTTCCCAGTGCTGGTATTGAACTCAAGACTTTGACTGATAGCAAGCATTCTAGCGCTAAGGCAGTAGTCCTGTCTTTAGCGTTATCATCACTTTTTGTGTGGTTTGGTGTGAGACACCCTTACACTGCAAAGTAAGCTGCCTTAGAACTCACTGCGACCCGGCTGTCCTGCAGGATGAGACGGCCGGTACTGCAGCGCCCAGAAGTTCTCTCCTTGTTTAGATATGTCCTCAGTCTGTCCTTCAGTCTGTCCTTCAGTCTGTCCTTCAGTCTGTCCTTCAGTCTGTCCTTCAGTCTGTCCTTCAGTCTGTCCTTCAGTCTGTCCTTCAGTCTGTCCTTCAGTCTGTCCTTCAGTCTGTCCTCAGTCTGTCCTTCAGTCTGCCCTTCACTCTGTCCTTCAGTCTGTCCTTCAGTCTGGCCTTCACTCTGTCCTTCAGTCTGGCCTTCACTCTGTCCTTCAGTCTGTCCTTCACTCTGTCCTTCGCTCTGTCCTTCGCTCTGTCCTTCAGTCTGGCCTTCACTCTGTCCTTCAGTCTGGCCTTCAGTCTGTCCTTCAGTCTGTCCTTCAGTCTGTCCTTCAGTCTGTCCTTCACTCTGTCCTTCGCTCTGTCCTTCGCTCTGTCCTTCGCTCTGTCCTTCGCTCTGTCCTTCAGTCTGTCCTTCAGTCTGGCCTTCAGTCTGTCCTTCACTCTGTCCTTCAGTCTGGCCTTCAGTCTGGCCTTCAGTCTGTCCTTCAGTCTGTCCTTCGCTCTGTCCTTCAGTCTGTCCCACCCAGCCCTGTGTTAGCAACTGGCATCTCCTTCCCTCCCCCTCCACTCTCCTTTTAAACTCCAAAGGAACACAAGAGCCCCAAGGATGTATGAGTTTGCTCAGGTAAGTAACTGTGTGTGTGTGTGTGTGAGAGAGAGAGAGAGAGTGTGTGGTATGTGCGTGTGTATGTGTGAGTGTGTGTGTGGTGTGCATGTATATGTGTGAGTGTGTGTTTGAGTGTGTATGTTGTGAGTGTGTGTGTGAGTGTGTGCATGTGTCTGTGTATATGGTGTGTGCACGTGTGAGTTTGTGTGTGTGTGTGAGTATGTGTGGTCTGTGCATGTGTGTGAGTGTATGTGTGTGTGAGAGAGAGAGAGCGTGTGTGTGATGTGTGTAAAACCTTTATTGTAAAGAAGAATAATTTTCATTTAGATGTAATCTTTACCCTTCCAAGTTAATCCCAAGGACATGTTGTTAATTTTAAGTATTCTACTAGGCTCACGTTCTCTCCTTCCGTCCCTCCTTCCCTCCCTTCCTTCCATTTCCAAGCTGGAGAGAAGCTGGGCACTTGAGAACCTCCCCTTCCTTATGAGGACCCCAGTCAGCTCCCAGAACCCAATGGCAGCTGACTGCCGCCTGTGACCCCACTTCCAGGGGGTCCTGATACCCTTTTCTGGCTTCTTTGGGCACGGCATACATGTGCTGTACATACATGCGGACAGGAAAGCATTCAGACACATAAAATATAAATAAATCTTTTCAAAAGAAATAATTCCGAGGCTAGGAATTGGGAGCCGTGCCTATAATTCCAGCCCTGACGAGGGAGACGCATGAGGGTCACTGGCTAGCCTGGTCTACATACTGATTCCAGAGCAGCCTAGGCTCCATAGTGAGATTGTCTTTTAAAAAAAGGGAGGGAGGGAGGGAGGGAGGGAGGGAGGGAGGAAGGGAGGGAGGGAGGGAGGGAGACCATAGAAACATGGAAGTAACAAGATGGCTCGGCAGGTAAAGATTCTTGCTCTACTAGCGCATCACGAACTCAGTCCCTGGAAGCCACGTAACGTGAGGAGAGAACAGACTACAAGGCTGACGACTGATGCTGTGCGAAAGAAATCAAATAAAAAGAAAACATTTACAGGAAAAGCATGCATGCCCAGCCAACGTCAGACTGCAGTGTGTTCTGCGCATTTGCAGCTCCTGTGAACCCAGGAGACTGCGTGCCAGCCACCCGTGTACATGCGAGCGCCCTGCCCTGCCCTGCCCCAGGCATGTGGAAAGTCTCACTGCTCTATGCGGTGGGAAGGGCTCTCTAGGGTGTTTGAAACCAATAGCTCTAGGTCTTACACACCGCAGAAAAGCTCTTTCCCACCAGACCCTCCTCATAATCGAACCGGCAGCTTCCCCTACACTTACAAAGCGCAATTGATGTCTATCCGTTATACGTAATAATGGGTTTCACCATATTTAATGTAAATGTGTGTAGTGTGTGTTGGTTGAATTCCCCCTGTGGCCCTCTTCTACATTTTCTGTGTGTTAAAATTTTTAAAAGACGTAAAGAGTAACAACTGTTCATAAAAAACATCAGCTAACTGATGATATATTATTTTGTTCTGATTTATCTGTATGTGGATGTGTGCACAAGTCCAAGGATGCTGGAAAAGGGTGGTGGATCCCTGCAGCCAGGGTTACAAGCCACCTGATGTGGGTTCTAGGAACCAAACCCAGCTCCTCTGCCAAAACAGCAATCACTCTCTCTTTTTCAAACTATTCTGTGGGCATTTTGTCTGCATGCATGTCTGTATACCACATGTATGCCCGGTGCCCAGGGAGCCAGAAGAGCATGTCAGATCCCCAGGAACTGGTAAGAAGGGCGTTTGTGAGCTGCCACGTGCATCCTGGAAACTGGCCCCAGATCCCCTGTCAGGGCAGTGGGTGCTCAACCGCTGAGCCATCTCTCCAGCCTTCAGGCTTCTTATATTTTAAATATGCCCTTTTTTCCTCCTCTCAGTGTTCGGAAACATCCTCGAACCAAGGAAATACAAATTACGTCCTCTGTGTTTAAAGTGAAGGCCTACGTGAGTACCGGTATTCTTGATTACTTCTTGCGGATGCTGTTGCTATGCTCGTGGCTTAGGAAGCCGGACACTGTTAGCCTGGGAGAAAAGATGGTGATGCTAAGTACGTTATAAAATTCAAGCGTGATAGGTATAGCTCCTCCGCGGGAGTCGAGCGGGAACCTGGGGCCCGGAGCAGAGGCAGCCAGTGTGGAAGAAGAGTGATTGCTCTCAGTATCTCTCCCCAGTCGGCACAGAACAGCCCACTACACCTTGAACACTAACGGCTTTCCCAACCCTTCCAAAACTGCAAACTCCTTCCACGGTCCTCCCCAAAGCATCAGTCAGGTCTGTCGCAGCAGAACTGCACTCTCTGGTACCCAGTTCTGTGCTCTCTTTCGTGTTGGCCAGCGTAGGGGAGGAGCCGGTTTATTTGCCTCACATGCCCCAGCCTTATTCAAGGCAGTAGCTCAAGCAGGGCCAAGGAAAAGTGCTGCTTACCAGCTTGCCTCACGGCTTGTTGAGCCTGCTTTCTCGCGTGATCCAGACCACCGTCCAGTGTTGGCACCACCATCCATCATCAGTCAAGAAAACGCCCCGCAGACCAAACTGATGGAGGTGACTCCTTAAGAGAGACCCCTCTCCCCAGATATGTCTAGGCTTGGGCCACACTGACAAAACCAAACTGCACACATGGCAGGCATTTTACCCACTGAGCGCCTCACTAGTTCATGAAGCTCTTCTGTAAAACTGATAGTCAGGAAAGGCACAAACTTGGAGCCCCAGCACCCAAGGGACTAAGGCAGAGAGCTACTGAGCTCTAGTATAACCTGCTCTACATAGGGAAAACCCCATCTCAGCACACACACGCGCACGCGCACACGCACACGCACACACACACACACACACGTGCGCACACACGTGCACACACAGAGAAAAGCCAGTGGGCATAGATAGTGGTAGATAGTGGCTCACATCTGGGATCCCAGAGCAAAGCAGGGTCACCATCAGTTTGAGACTAGCCTGGGTATACAATTAAACAAAGCACAACAAAATAGCAAAAATAGCATGGAAAGAACATGATTGGACTGTCCATTCCTTGAGGACAAGAGTTACAGTTGTGGTACATGTGTTAATAGATTTGTACTGTTAATACTATTGGCAGTTTATTGCCGAGTTATTATCAAAAAATGTTGTATATGTTTCATGATTTTCGTTTACTGAGACAGACATGTTGCTCTGCATTCCAGACTGGCCTCAATCTCAATCCTCTGCCTCAGCCCCCAAAGGACGGGGTTAAGATGTGTGCTACAATCCTGCCTATGTTTCATGATGCTTGGGCAGAAAAATGTGTGCTAGTCAGACTTCTTTGCATGGGGTTGAACCCTGAATAATCCAGGTTTGTCTTTTCAGGACTCTGCTGGCCTGTGCTACCCTTCAGCTAAAGAGCATGAACAGACATTCTCTTACTTTGTCGTGGACCCCATCAAGCGCCATGTGAATGTCTTATACCATTGCTATGGTGTCGGGGAGATGGCCTAGCGTTGTTTAAGCCATCGCTAGTGCTGCTCCTTAATTGTGGTGTCTCTGTGTCAGCGATAACGAATGGATGGACAGACTTCAAGCTGAAGAAGGCCAACCTGAAGTGCCTGTCTCTCCATTTGCCCAGCACACTCATGCAGGGACCCTGATGGACCCTGCACAGAGCAGAAAGGCACAGATTACGTTCATTCTGTCAAGATGCGCCCAGTCTGTGTCCTATATTTTGAAATTGTTTAGGAGGCAGAAGCAGGGCGATCTGTGTGAGTTAGAGGCCAGCCTGGTCTACAGAGCTAGTTCCAGGACAGCCAGAGCCACATAGAGAAATGGAAGTTTATGTCTCTACAGTTAGGAAAAACATTGAATTCTTTTGCTTTATTTTTTTCCACTTAAAATCCTCAATTAAAAATTATTGTAAATTCTCATTATATAACACATTAAAACTCTTGCTGCCATACAGTTTCCAGTTAATACACAGTAGTGACACATATGGTATGGAGTACATCAGAGGTGGTGTTTCAGAGAGTGGAACACAGCGCTCTATGCACGCTAGGCACTGTGATATGTCAGTACAAGGCCTCACTAGCTTAGTGTGGCCTCAAACCTGACATGTAGCCACGGACAGTTCCTGTCCCTCTTGATGCTGCACCCTGGGTGCTAGAGGGACCGTTAAAGGCACCAAGGACTGTCTACCTCATGGGTTCTTTTTTCTTCTTTTTCTTTTTTTGTTGTTTTGTTTTGTTTTTCAAGACAGGGTTTCTCTGTGTAGCTTTGGAGCCTGTCCTAGTACTCACTTTGTTGACCAGGCTGGCCTTGAACTCACAGAGATCCGCTTGCCTCTGCCTTCCAGGTGCTGAGACTAAAGGTACGCACCACCACTGCTAGCTGTTGGATTTTTCATTCCACCATTATTTACTGTGGCCCTGAGGGCGTTGCTTAACCTTTCCTTCAAAAATAGTTTTGAAAATTCTAAAAATTAAAACATATCTTGGGTTCCAAGGGTGCCAAGAATATAGTTTAAGGCTACTAGCTGTGCAGGGATGGTGCACACCTTTAATCCCCACACTTGGGAGGCAGAGGCAGGTGGATCTCTGTACATTTGAGTCTGGCCTGGTTTCCAGAGTGAGTCCCAGAACAGCCAGGGCTGTTACACAAAGAAAAACCCTGTCTCAAAAAAACAAAACAAAAAAAACCAAAAACAACAACAAAAAACAACAAAACACACACACACAAAAAAAAAAAAAAAAAGAAAGAAAGAAAGAAAGAAAGAAAGAAAGAAAGAAAACCAGGGCCTGTGTCTAGTTGTGTTTTTATATTAATCAGTTAGTTTGCTTTATATGCGAAGGCTTGTTGCTTGAGGAAGGGTCTTGGAATTCACTGCATAGACGGAGCTGGTCTCCAAGCTTATAGTCTTCCCCTCCCTGCCCCCAGCGACGCTGAAGCAGGGGCTCCTTCATTCCCCGTGGTACCCTTCATACATCCCTTCATCCCAGCATCTGACACAGCACCTGGCCTTGGAGAGACCCTCAGCAAATGCCCGCGTCCTGACTGACGAAGGGAAGGAAGCTGATCCGTAGAGTGAACTTGTGGAGTGTGTGGGGTGAGGTAGAGTGTCCCTCCTGCAGGGGGTACAGACACAGAGCGCCTCTGTAAGGCTTCAGCGCACCAGCGCACGCAGCCTGCATGCCCATCTTAAGCTCTGCCCCAGCTCAGTCCCTCCAGTTATCTCTGAAGCATTTATTGAAGTTTTTGAACTGTCAGGACCTGGATTTAGCTGTGCAGTGTGGGGTGAGATACAGAGCCTGGGAACATGCCTCGGGCCACACAATCCCTGGAAAATAACCGAAGCCTGTAGAAGCCATTTTCAAAAAAAAAAAAAGCAAGCTGAGTCAACTGAGAGTAGAAAGGTCTGGGTTTGGACAGCTGAGCATGTGACAGCATGGTCATATGAATGGGGACTTCAAAACATTGTTCAGAAATCCCAGCTGCTACTTAAGGGATTGTAATAAGGCATTAGATAGAGCCATGTGAAGGCTGGGACATACGGGGCATTGTAGCCCCCGTGAGCAAACAAAGCTCCAGAAGCATGGGAGGCGTGGGAAGCATGGGTGCATCTGAGAGGGTGGCTGAGACGGGGGCGCCCTGGCCAGGACTCTGCGTGCGGCAGGAAGGCAGAACCACAGGGAGACAGCTCCTTCTGACATAGGCAACACAGGCATCATCAGCTGACTCTGCTGGGTGGGAGCGTCACAATGCAGAACCCTGGAAAGATTACTCATGCACTGAGGAGAGGAAGGAAGTTCTGGTGGCTGAGGCATGCTGGGAGCTGTCAGAGCATCGTGCCTCCAGCTCAGAGTCCACACCCACTGAAGGCTGTTTGGACATCATGAAGAAAAGACAGGGAATGCTGGGGAGGTGGGCCAAGTCAGGGCCGGGGATGCAGCCCCGTGACTGAATGTTCCCTCACAGGCACAGACCTCTGGGTTGGATCCCCAGCACCTCAGGAAACAGAGAACTGGAGGCAGGAATGTCGTGACTTCAAGGCCACCTTCAGCTATATATTAACCCTGAGGCCAGCCTGGGAGACGGGAATCCCTCTAAGTTCAAGGCCAGTCTGGTCTATAGTGCGAGTTCCTGGACAGCCAGGGTTACACAGAGACACCCTGTTCTCAGAAAACCAAAGCAAGCCAAAACATCAACAAAACGACAAAGATGGCTCTGTGCTGAGAGGCGCTTGGTGACAAGACTAACAGACCTGATTTCAACCCCAGGACCCAAACAGTGGAAGAAGATGCTTGCAAGTCGTCCTGTGACCTCTGTGACCTCTATACTCACACAATAAATAAATATAATTTTAAATGCATTTAAATCAGGACTGGGAGCATAGCCCCACACTAGAGCCCAGGCGTATAGTGTGTGAGCTCCTGTGTTCAACCCCAAAGTCACACAAGAGAAAAAAGGAGAATAAGATAAAATCAAACGTGGCCCAAAATAGAAAGAGTTAGCCAACTGAGTGAGTTCTGAGGTGACAGGGCTCTGAGGACCCGGAAGTGGCATCTGTGGGGGGAAGTTGTGGTTAGATGGGGAAATCCCTCAGCTGAGCCCTCCGTTTTTCTTCTTATTCTCTGAGCCTTTGTTCTGATTCATGAGCAGAGAGCGGTAGGGATTGCTCTCGACCATGCTCAACCAGCTTTGGTCCCCACACTCAAAAACAGCTTTGCAGCCCCTAATGGCTGGTTGGAGGCTTCTTAAGGAACACGCTCTCCTAAATTCTCTCAACCAATTACTCAGCACTCAATGGTACAAACTCATACAGCTGGGTGTGGCAGCATACACCTATAATCCTAATGCTTGGGAGGCTGATACAAGAGGATCCCGGGAGTTTCAGGCCAGCCTGGAAAAATAGACTGAGCCCTTATTTCAAAACAAACAAAAACCTAGCATCCATTCTGTAAGTGTTGGCATTCATTTCGTGTTTGTTATCATTTCCTAGCATGTTCCAGCCAGGATCCACATAGTATGTGCAAATAATGGTTTGGAATGGAGAGTTGTGCTGGTAGTCTTAGTACTAGAGAAGCCAAGGTGGGGATTCCTGCAAGTTTGAGGCCAGCCTGACCTACAAAATGATAGCCTGACTGGAGACAAAGCAAACAAAGGCTGGAAAAGTGACTCAGAAGTTAAGAGGCATCAGTGCTCATAAAAAGCCTGAATGTGTTTCCCAGCAGCACACGTGACTGCTCACAAGCCTCTGTACCCAGCTCCAGGGATCTGACCTCCCCAGTCATGCATGCATGTGCACACAGACACAGGTACACATACTTTATACTTTATGCATAATTTATACATAAAATTCTTTTCAGAGTTTGCATTCTCTTTTTTTGGTTTTGTTTTGTTTTGTTGGGTTTTTGTTTGTTTGTTTGTTTTTTGAGACAGGGTTTCTCTGTATTGCTTTGGATCCTGTCCTGGAACTAGCACTGTAGATCAGGCTGGCCTTGAACTCATAGAGATACGCCAGCCTCTGCCTCTCCTGGGATTAAAGGCATGCACCACCAACTCCCCGCTGAGGGTAGAAGTTAAAGTTCAGTGTGTTTTTGAAAGGTGTATTTTTATTTTTGTGTGTGAGTATGTCCCGTGTCCAAGTGCTCAAGGAGGCCAGAAGAGGGTGTCTAACCCTGAGACCGAAGTTGCAGGCAGATTTAAGTCACACAATGTAATTGCTGGGAACTGAATTTTATGCCCCGGAAGAGCGGTGAGCACCCTTAACCCCTGAGCTGTCTCTGCAGCTCTCATGTCAGTCTTGCGCATGGGAGTATTGCACATTTTGAAAGACCCCTGTGACCATTACGTAATAAATGGGTCCAAGAAGCCATGTAGAAGTGGGAAGACATTATCTGAACTAATGACTATGGAAAGCGGTTGAGCTACATGGCTTCTATGAAGATGAAGTATTTTGGGAAGAGCTGGGCCCTCTTCCTGAATTTGTCTTGCAAATATATATTCATTTTTGTTTTGTCTAGCAAAAATATATTTATTGCTAGTGCCCTAGAAGGTAACTATATTCGGAAATAGTGCCTTTAAAGAGATAATTTAAATGAGGTTATATAGGGAGACTCATATGGGTAAACCAATCTTATTATTGTTCTTAGCAGGAAAACAGGTTAGAACACAGACAGGAGCTGGCCAAGATGGCTCAGGGATCAAGGTGGTAGCTGCATAAACCTTCCACCTGAGTTTGGCTCCTACAACCATGGACAGAAGAGAGAAACAACTCCTAAAAGTTCTCCTCTGATTCCTACAATGTGTGGCACACACACATGAATAAACATTTTTTTTTTTTGAAAAATAACAGAGGTAGGCTAACAGGGAAGAATGTGCAGAAACCAGGGATACAAACAAGAATTAAACCTCGGGAGAAACCAACCTCAGAAAGGCCTTAACCTTGGGTCTCTGCCTGAGGGAACTGTGGGGAAGCTTTCTGCTGTTTAGACCCGCCAACTCTGCAGAGTGTGTTGCGACAG